TTACCTATTACATTATAATCATGGGTTTCGATGTTTTTGGGATCGATACTTTTTATAAATGTATCGACACTTTATGCGTGCACCATAATTTTGGGCATTCATTCTGGACAAAATGTATCGACACAAAATTAAAAAGTGTCGATACATTATATAGACCTATTCTCACATAAAACCGGTAAATTTATACCAGTTACATTACAAAATTACCTATTATATTATAATTATGAGTTTCGATGTCTCTGAGATCGACAATTTTTAAAAATGTATCGACACTTTATGCGTTCACCATTTTGGGCATTCATTCTGGACAAAAAGTATCGACACCAATTTCAAAAGTGTCGATACATTATATAGACATATTCTCACATAAAACCGGTATATTTATACCGGTTACATTACAAAATTACCTATTACATTATAATTATGGGTTTCGATGTCTCTGGGATCGACACTTTTAAAAAATGTATCGATACTTTATGGGTGTACCCTTTTGGGCATTCCTTCTGGACAAACAATATCGATACAAATTCAAGAAGTGTCGATACATTATGTAGACATATTCTCTCATAAAATCGATATAGTTATATCGGTTACATTGTAAATTTACCTATTACATTATAATTATGGGTTTCGATGTTTCTGGGATCGATACTTTTTATAAATGTATCGACACTTTATGCGTTCACCATCTTGGGCATTCATTCTGGACAAAAAGTATCGATACCAATTTCAAAAGTGTTGATACACTATGTAGACCTATTCTCACATAAAATGGTATATTTATATCGGTTATATTACAAAATTACCTATTACATTATAATTATGAGTTTCGATGTTTTTGGGATCAATACTTTTTATAAATGTATTAACATATATTCTTACCTATTTTTTGGAAACTTTACGTTTGGGAACCATACTGGACAAAATATTGGAAACAAATCTTTGTGTTTATTAATTTTGTCATTAAAAAAGTCTATTTTTACCACCTACATTGTAAATTTACCTTTTACTTGAAAGTTATTGAATTTTGTTGTTATTGTACATACCCTCAATATGGAATGGCCATTCAGTGCCCCACATCATGACAATTATGATGACATTTGGAATAATGCAAACAACGATCTCCATAAATCGTAAGTATCAACATGACTCTTACTGTGTATAAGAAACATGTACAACAACCTACTGCTAACTTTTCTCATCTCATACATAATTACATTCACATACAAAATTATAAATCGTATACAAAATTATAAATCTTATACAAAATTAACCCTACATTTACATCATCGCTTCCTTTTGTTATTCTTGTGTCTCATGGCAGCTTTTGTTATCTCATCTCTTAGTTGATTTTGATTGTGGCTTACGAGATCGTTTAATATTCGCGATCGATCCCACTGTCCAACAACCTATATTCAAATTGTCAGTACGTTAAGTATTGTAAACCACAGCATTCAATCTACAACTTTTAACAATTTAACCGCAAACGAATTTTTAATTCCACTTACAAAATCACTAATTTCCCTGTAGAACCGATCGATTCCATCCGCATCATCACATACATGTCGCAATCATATTTGTTACAAAATTTGAATACCACACGTGTCAATTATGAAACCTGCATAAATTAAGCTTTCTATTTATGATAACATCTCATACCCATTCACTTGCTCATTCATCTTATGCTCCACAAATTTGAAATTTTTCAAGGGGAACTTTCCTAGAGATCAACATGCTTCTACCCAATTGTGTTTCTTATTATAACTATCTAATATTTTCATTGCATTAAAAAATATGAAGTTATTATCCAAACAAATTATGCATTATAATTTACATAATTTTCTTTCATACATACCAATCTCTTAGCATCATTCACTCTCTGTTTAGTTGCTTCAGATGTAAACAAACTATCATATATTGTTGAAACATGATCTACCATATCCAACACCAACAGATACCAATGTGAATTATGGTAGTTTATTGTGATCATTATCTGCAACAAATTTCACACCCAATTTGAGAAAATTCAACATTCTATATCCGAAAACATCATTTGCAATTCGTATGGTGTCTTACCTTCTCATAGTCGGTGAATTTCACATAGTTACCCAATATAGGACCCCGAAATGTAGTAACACCCTCAACATTTACTTTCATGTTGGCATCCAATACCTGTTGCTGCAATTACGCGACAATCATTATTAATTTACCGTCTATAACACTACTTTTGAACATTTATTAATTTAACTCACCGCTAAGTGGTATGGAAGGTAGCCAATCCTCCGGAGTGACTTTTTCGAATCGTAGCATACTGTCCAAGCGAGCAAATCAATAACCTAACAAAATTAATTACACAATCAGAACATATTCAATAGGTTTTAACATTTTGTACTTTCTACTTACCACACCGTATTCCATTTCTCCAACACATCATTTCTCACCTAATATTAAGCATAAACGTTTCTTAATCAATACATTAACGCTAAATAATACTCAATGTCAATTTCAATTTACATACCGAACCGATGTGTTTGCCACATTCCTTCATCCTTTGGCATTCGATCATACTGTCAACATTTAAAATTTGTAATCAATTTAAAGTTCTTAAATACTTTAATCCAATTACCATTTCAACAATAATAACAAAAAGACATTGATACTTACTAGAAATACATATATCCACCCTTTGGTTGCTTTCGAATCTCGACCTCAATTTCAACGTCAGCTGATCCTTTGACTTCATTTTTCCTTCATATATCAGTTTACGCAAATCAAATCAAATAATTGTTACATACACTTTATTCAATATACAAATATCGATAACTACTCTTGTAGTAAAACAGTTTCCTTCAAAAGAATTGAATGGCCACTACAACAAGTGTCAGTACATTTATACAACCTACAATATCATTTTCTACCTATAATATTATAAATAGATATCCATATTTATTTTCTACCTAAAGTATTATATAATCGATCCCATATCCTTCTTGGCTTCGATTTAAAATCCCCAAACCAAACCCTAATCCCTATTTTCTTCAAACGAATGAGAACACTCAATACTCCAAGTATCGACACATTTATACAACCTATAAAATTATTTTATACCTATAATATTTAATAAAAGTATCGATATTTATATTTTACCTAGAATATCACTTTCTACCTGTAATCGGTCTCAAATGCTTCTTTACTTCAAAACCCCAAACAACACATGAAAACCCTATTTTCAATTACTGTAATAATAAAAAACTAGGGTTTCAACAACGTACTTTTCGATTCGAGTGCAGCAACAAACAAACAAACTTCACTTTAGAAACGCCTTCTGAAATGCAGCAACAATTACGCTTCGATTTCAAAAACTCATCCGTTCTATCTATTTTTCAAAGGATATTTAACTGTGCCCTTTATATTTTCACCGGATATGTTATTTATATTTAATCGATACAACTACCAAAGTGTCGATACTTTTATGTCAGGTGTCGATACTTTCGATAGTATAATTACCTATTTCTTTGAAAGTATCGATAATTTATTACGCGTACTTATTAAAGTATCGACACTTTCAATATATCTGGTAGCGCTTTACCAGATTTGTCATTTCGAGACCGGTTTTGTCATATTTTTACCTGTTATATCGTTATGGATCGATACATTTTTATAAAGTATCGACACTTTATAGGCGCTAAAATTGTTTCTCTTTTAAATTCACAAAGTGTCAATATTTATATTGAAGTATCGACACTTTCAATATATCCAGTCGCTCTATACCGATTTTGTCCTTTAGAGACAGGTTTTGTCATATTTTTACTTGTTATATCGTTGTGGATTGATACATTGTTATAAAGTATCGACACTTTATAAGCACTAAAACTGCTTCTCTTTTAAATTCACAAAGTGTCGATACTAATATTAAAGTATCGACACTTTCAATATATTCGGTCGCTCTATATCGGTTTTGTCCTTTAGAGACCGATTTTGTCATATTTTTACATGTTATATCGTTGTGGATCGATACATTGTTATAAAATATCGATACTTTATAGGCGCTAAAATTGCTTCTCTTTTAAATTCACAAAGTGTCGATACTTATATTAAAGTATCGACACTTTCAATATATCCGGTCGCTCTATACCGGTTTTGTCCTTTAGAGACCGGTTTTGTCATATTTTTACCTGTTATATCGTTATGGATCGATACATTGTTATAAAGTATCGACACTTTATAGGCTCTAAAACTGCTTCTCTTTTAAATTCACAAAGTGTCGATACTTATATTAAAGTATTGACACTTTCAATATATCCGGTAGCGCTTTACCGGTTTTGTCTTTTCGAGACCGATTTTATCATATTTTTATCTGTTATATTGATATGGATCGATACATTTTTATAAAGTATCGACATAAACCGACAAACTAAGTTTGTCAGTTGCAAAATTTTTTAATATTTCTTTATGATTTAGACCTACTACATTATTATTACTCAACATTTCCAGTAGCGCTAAACCAAATTTATTAAATATCTTTTAATGTATATGATAACACCGTATATTAATTCGCTTTTCCTGATACAATCCCCTTATAATAGTATTGCTTTGACATTGGATTTTTTAAAAGCTTAATTTAATCATATTAAGTGGCCAACAACTCCTTTTGCCAATTGTGGTCCAACGCAAAAGTTAAGGCACCCCACTCCTTTTATAAATCAAGAATATGCTTTGCTTGTAAGTTATGACAGTTGCATGACGCAGCACCAAACTGTTGCTGACCTGGACCAATAAGATTGAAGTTCCAAAAGGAAGCACAAATAATGGCACATAGGATATTATTCCACCATAGTTTCACCTACTACAACATGGACCCCATACACTGTTGAAATGTCTGTGTCTTGGTGAAGGCCTTCAGTTTTGTAAATTGTCGAATTTTTCTACTCAATATATAAAGACCTAACTTGTTGGATGGTTGGATTATCCTCTCTAAAACACCCACTGAGAAAAGGAAAAAGAAATTTCATTTTTGTTGATAAGTGAAATGGGTAGCCTTGAAGCTGAGAGAACAACAACAGGATGGGCTGCCAGGGATCCCTCAGGGATCTTGTCTCCTTACACTTACACTCTTAGGTAATCTTTAATTTTTCTTTGGCTTTTTTTAAGGTTCAAACAAATGAATGTTTTGTTGTAATAATATTAATACTATTTTGCAGGAACACCGGTCCTGAGGATGTTTTTATTAAGGTCACTTGCTGTGGGATCTGCCACACTGATATTCATCAAACAAAAAATGATCTTGGCATGTCAAACTATCCAATGGTTCCTGGGTACTACAACTCTCTTCTTTACGTTTCTTTATAATCATGTTTAAGAGAATCAATGGATTTTTTCTTGGCATAATATTAATGTTAAAATACGTCTGGGACGTTTATTAAAATGATTTGTTTTGATTTCTATTTCTTTTATTTTAAGTATTTTGGCCCTGACGTTTATTAAAATGAGGAAAAAAATTCGTAAGATTAAACAATTACTTTGATCCTTATTTAATATTATGGAGTATTTTTGCTCTAAATTTTCATTTTTTAGAATATAGAACACGATAATTATTTGTTAACTCATAATTTTAATATCTTTTCATTCAAAAATCAAATGTTGATGTCAAAATGCTCTAAAAATATAATAAGGTGAGTCAAAATGACCTTTTAGATAGATGTTTGGGGTTAATTTTAATACTATACATTTTTTTACGGTTTTGGACTGTGGGTTTGATTATTACTTTGCAGGCATGAAGTGGTTGGTGAGGTAGTGGAAGTTGGTTCAGATGTAACCAAGTTCAGAGTCGGAGATGTCGTCGGCGTTGGTTGTGTCGTAGGATGTTGCAGAAGCTGCCGACCATGCGACACAGACAATGAACAATACTGTCTCAAGAAAATCTGGTCCTACAACGATGTCTACAACGATGGGAAGCCCACTCAAGGCGGCTTTGCAGGTTCCATGGTCGTCGATCAAAAGTAAGAATCACATGTGAAAAAATACTGAAAAAATCAATCTTTTTATAGAGTGTTTAAACATATCTCTTTTGTTAGGTTTGTGGTGAAAATCCCGGATGGAATGAACCCAGAGCAGGTGGCGCCGCTGTTGTGCGCAGGGGTGACAGTTTACAGTCCATTGAGGCACTTTGGGTTGATGGAGAGTGGGCTAAGAGGAGGGATATTGGGACTAGGGGGAGTGGGGCACATGGGGGTCAAGATAGCCAAAGCCATGGGCCATCATGTAACCGTCATCAGCTCTTCTGATAAGAAAAAAGTGGAGGCTTTGGAACATTTAGGTGCCGATGAATACTTGGTCAGCTCCGACGCTGAAGGGATGCAAAAGGTGGCTGAATCGCTAGACTATATCATCGACACCGTGCCTGTTTTTCACCCTCTTGAGCCTTATATCTCATTGTTGAAACTCGATGGAAAATTGATCCTCACCGGTGTTATTAACACGCCTCTTCAGTTTGTTAGCCCCATGATCATGCTTGGTCAGTCCAATTCCTCAACTTTTAACATGTTCGTTCTTTAGGGGTTTTGTTTTCAATTCTGATTAAAATCAGTGTTTTTGTTGAATAGGGAGGAAGGCAATTACTGGGAGTTTTATAGGGAGCATGAAGGAAACAGAGGAAATGCTAAACTTCTGTAAAGAGAAGGATTTGAGCTCGATGATTGAAGTGGTGAAGATGGATTATGTGAACACAGCAATGGAGAGGCTGGAGAAGAACGATGTTCGGTACAGATTCGTGGTGGATGTTGCTGGAAGCAAGCTTGATCAATAGAACAAACAAACTCCTTTCAACTATGAATTATATATTTCATCAACAAAGAAATACTTGTTTAAATATGACTACTTCAAATGGAAATGACTGCAATTTCCCTTTTCCCTATGGCAATAAAATCAAATAGAGAGTTTCTTCTTTTTCTTTAAAATGGATATTCGTAAATTCTAGAGCTTTTTTTTAGAAAGTGATAATTCTTTTCTTCTTTTTTTTTTACATTTTTAAACATAATGTTAAAATTAGTCTACAACATTTATTAAAATCCTCGTTTGATTTTTTTGAGAATATTTTAATCCATCAAATTTTATTTTTGAGAAAAAAAAAACTCACAATACTTGATTAAATAGTCAATTTGATTTCTTTTTTCTAAAACATTTTGGCCCATAACATTTTATTTTAGGGTAAAAGAGCCTTATCTTGTGCGATAATAATTTGTTAACCAATGGTTTTCATTTACAAATAAATCTTTCTGTCTCAGAACGAAACATTGAAGATCAAAATGCTTGAAAAAAATATCAAAATAATTATTTTTAATAAACATTAGAGACTAATTTTAACATTATACCTTTTTTAATCTCTAATATCATTAATTTTTTTCAAACCCTAAGAAGAGGAGATAGCGTTTTTAATTTTAAAAAAACCCCAAAATTCAATAATTATTTTTAAAAAAACATTAGAGACTAATTTTAACATTATACCTTTTTTAATCTCTAATATCATTAATTTTTTTCAAACTCTAAGAAGAGATGGCGTTTTTAATTTAAAAAAACCCAAAAATTCATTTATTAGGAAAGTAACCCAAGCAACATTAATTAGAAAAATACCTCTGAAGCTGCCCACGTAGGACTACCTCATGTTCTACAAAACGCATATAAATATCTCGTGTACTATAGAGCACGAGACCCGTCCGACCTGGAAACACTTTTCAGATAACCCAATTTAATATTTCTATAAATGACCTCGCGTTCTGCGTAACGCGAGGTCCCCGAGAATATGAAGTGCCCCTGAGATTTTGAAACACTGTATTTAATTATCGCGTGTTTTGAAAGGACCTCATGGTATGCGTAACGCGAGTTTTGTACTATAATAATAAAATTATCAAACTATTTTATGAAATAGGTTAAAACTAATCATTATATTTTTATTGTATTGTAAAATATATAATAAACAAAAAAACTCAATTGTAATAAATATATAATACTCATTAAAATTAATTATATTGTAACATTTTACAAAACAAAGTTTCTTCATGGTTTGAGAAACAAGTATCATAAAAAGTACATATGTTGTTCCTTGGTTGCTAAATTTGGTTGATTGAAATACGCCGACAATTGTTACCATAATTACAGTCTTCGATTAGTTTTAGAAAGGCAAGGTTGTTATGACTCGACGAAATTAAGCCTACAAACACAATAATCTCTGAACGAATAATTTATAAATTTGTTTTCTTAGAATTAGCAAGATTGAAAGCTTTCACGATTCGAAGTCCTTCATTTCTTAATTCACCCCAAAACAAATTAGAATAATGTCATAAACATATATGACATTGATATTACCTTTATATGTTGTTATCTTCAAACAATATACACCAGACTCCAAATTTATTCCACTAAAATATCATACATGCATCCTTTATATAACGCTTCGTGATTATTACTAGTTTTGCATCTTTCTTCAAAACTTATATCATTTTGAATCCACGGAATGACGTAAATATTCTTCATTGAAACTTTTGATAGATTTAATTATGCTTTGAGACTTGATAAAAAGTTTTGCAACTCAACTATGTATTGATGAAATCAACAATAGAAATAGACGCCACATGCATAAGAATTTTTGATAACACCTATCTTGGGAATAACTCCATAATATTACTGCAAATTTTTTCCATTATTTTGAAATATGTTGAGAAAATCCTACACATGGGATCCCTATTTATAACAATCTTCACACCCTTTTTGAAACGAGGAATTGATGAACCTCGCGTTATACAGGAGTAGGTTCGTTGAAAAACCGTGACTTTTAATTCAAATAAAATATATCGTGTCAGAATGACCTCGCGTTTTGTAAAATGCGAGGTTGTCATTTTATAGGAGCACAAGTCTTGCAAAACGCAAGGTCTGTCCATCTCCAAGGCAAAATTCATTTGTTTATATGCATGTTCGAGGCGTTTTCCCATGTTGTAAATTAGAAATTTTTCATAATTTATAATATTAGTGGTGTAGTATTTGAACTTATCTTTCTGTTGAGTCTAATATCAACACATACGAGACATTATAATCGGGGTAAAAATCACATTAAAAATGGTTCGAAAGATTGGTTTGTGCATAAAGAACAAGTTAAAATGGCTTGATAGGCATTTTGTGGAGTATTTCTGGGAAGTTAATTGAAACATTTGTGTAATGTGTTATCTTAGAGGCGTAGTATTGCAACTTATCTTTCAATTGAAACTAATATCGACACATATGAGACATTGTAATTAGGGCCAAAATCGCGTTAACAAATGTTACAAACAAAAAAAAGTTGAAAACTAACAAACATATTTTGTAAATAACTTACAGCAATGTGGTGTAAGAAACTCCAAATAATATCTGAAGCTGTGGAGGCACTTATCGGTGCATATCTTAGCACGAAGAAGAAGACGATGCCACCGAAAGATTATGCCTTGTATAAACAAATACCATCACGCTAGTGAAATCAAGGTCACAAGTGAGAAAAACTATATCTTAGACTTGTGTTCTTGGTATCGACGGTACAAAATGCAAGGAAAAAGATCAACAGAAAAATACCAACAGGCTAGAGAAACTCAAAGGGTATTCGCTTGATCCTAATTGATAGAACGAGAAATTTCTCGAGAAGCCCAAGAGAAGAAAATGGTGCAACCAGAAGATGATGCCTTTTATAAACGAGAAGTTTTCCGAGAAGGGATAAATATGAAAGAAGAAAAAGGTTTTAGAAAAAGTTAGGTTTGGTGGAATAAGAGGAATTTAAATAGGCAAAAATCTCGCGTTGTTCTGCCTAAATTCTTATTGATGTGATATGGAAAGGAACTCACACCTTGCATAACTCGAGCTTCGTCATGTTAAATTACCACATCAAATCAACGACGTCAACTAGTTGCTATCACTTCATGAATCTTTGTGGAACTGTCACACCCCAAATTAGGGACTAAAATTTTCTTAAAATTTTAATTAAATTTGGGGACCATAGTGAAATTTTGATTAACTTTGGATCCAAATTAATAAAGCAACTAAAACTAGAGGACTTATAGTGTAATTATACCATTTTTCAAATATGGGTTTAAAAGATCCAAAAATCACAAACTTTTCATTTCTAGAAAGTTTAAACCCTTTTTCTCTCTCTCTTCAACATTTCCTCTTTTAGAAGGAAATCTTTAATCGAAGTTTTGTCGCTGATCATTGTTTTGTTTTCAACAACTCCCAGTCCACCATGTTCCTTGCGTCGTCCCGAGTCCATCGGTGTCCATCTTGTCTCTGTTGTCGTTGACGTATAAGGGGGTGAGGAAAATCAAGTTTTTGACGTTGTAAAATCGAGCTCTCTACCGTTCACCGCTGTGAACCGAGCTTGGTAAGTGTCTCAAAACTCCTTAAAATGCATATAGAAATTTTTATGTAATTTTTTCGACCCAGAAGGCCCCACACGAGTGTGGGGAAGGTCCACCGCCTGGTGGCCTTTTAAAAGCAGTCAGATCCAATCCGACCCACCTGCCTAACCCGACCCTTTCTAACCTGAATCGAACCATTGACCGTTAACCGTTGACCGACCGTGGATTGCCGTTAACTTTTTCTAAAAACCTCCGTCTTGACATTTTTTGATGTCTTGAGTCCGATTTTGTAATTCATTTTGCGAAATTTAACATGAAAACTCTAAATCGAGCTCGTTAATTCGAAAATGCTTAGTATTTTTAGAATTTTTACTTATTTATTTTAGATTTGATTATGAAATTGATTCGAGTATATATATTTATATGAAGGTAATCGTGTTTCCCCCGACTGGGGGTCGATTAGATCTGGTGCTTCCCGTCCATCAGATCCGCTCGATCTGCTCGATCCGCATTCTTCGAGAGTTAATCGTAGGATTCTGTAAATTGTTTAAATAGAGGCTATTATTATTCATATTAGGATTATGATATAGATTTTACGATTCGTAAGATCTATCAGCAGACTCGGTAGTAGGCAACTTATCAGACTACTCAGACCAGTACAGATGTGTTCCCTGATGGTGTTACATTATTGTTTTAAACTATTAGTATGAATTGTTTTAGATTTATGATAATACTGAATATTTTTACGACACAATACTTGAGTTTCTGAATATTGTTTATCTGATATCTGATTTATTGTATATTTCTGATATGATCTCTGATTACTATATTTTTGTATCTGATTTATGAGTATGAAATATTTTCATGTTTTAATGGATTAAACTATCATTTTCACTCAAATACATACATGTTTATTATTGTCATTGGGGGTATTATTGGAGAAAGTGTACCTAGTTTATGACTTGTAAGACCTTATCACAGACTCATCTGCTTTGTGCAAAGGGTAAGTCCTTACCGCAAGTCCTTATGTTATATGTATAAGGTCCTTACCGGGTGTACATATGGGTGTATGGTTCTGGGGACCATCTCCTGAGGGATTATCCAGAGTCAACTCCTATAGATCAGACACCAACTCGTACCCCCGCTAGTACTCAAAGTACAATTCATACTCTAGCAGGGGGTCATAGTCAGGAGAAAGCATCGAGATCGGCTAGTAGAGGTCTAGCTTATCAGAGTAGAGGTCTAGTCAGATCTGAGGCTAGACATCAACAAGACCACAATGAGCCTGATGTGATTGCAGGTACTATTACTATTCATACAATTCTCTACTTTGCAATATTTGATAATGGATCTACCTATTCCTATGTGTCACATTCCATTTCTGGAGGCCTTAATATTTTGATTGAGAATAATGAAAGTTCAGTGACAATTCAGAGTCCCGTAGGTCAATCCATATAATTAGATCGTATATTTAGATGGTGTCCTATAGAGATCCATGGGGAGATCTTTTTGGCCGACCTGATGGAGTCAATAAAGGCTCGGTTTCCGCATCTATTTCTATCATGTAAATTTTGAGGAT